ATTCCCACACATGCTGTAAGATGTTTATGTGGATAAATCTGTTATTGTATTTTGAAGGGTGTTCTATTTAGGGAACCTTGGGGCATTGCATTGTATATCTTACCCATAGACTAACAACAAAAGTATCTTCTGTTGTTTTATTATTTTCTCTGTTATAAATTTAGTACGGTAATACTAAATGTATTATATCAATGTAAATAAAGTGATAAGGAATTAGAGTATTTAATGAGGACAATAAATTTAATCTAAGGGAAGTGTATCTCATTTATAAATACTTTTTCATTGTGTCTTAGTGTTATCAATAATCGTATTTCTTTTCAGAAGATCTGAGGAGTATATTATTATAAGTGTTACTGGTCTGTGTCACTGTTGGACAGACCTTTTGATTAAGTTAAAGAAATTTGATTTACTTTAAAGATAAATATATTTTCATTTGTTCATATAATTTGATTTATTGTCTGCTTTCCTCAGTTAAGCCTTCAATTATCAGATATTCCCGATGAGGGGCCCACACTCCATCAAAGTTGGGGGAGTGGGGATGGTGAGGTAAGCAAATCTTCAGAATAGGCACCTATAAATGCAATTTCCGAAATGGAAATGGCACTTTTGGACTGTAAAAATGCTTTTGCTTCTTCCCTGACAGTGATGGGGGAAGCGTTCCCCAGTGGGTGGAAGTGTGGCTATCTCAGCTCCTGGTGCCTCCACTGTATTGTATATATTCCATTCCATAGGAGTTTGTACTAATGCACATAACAATGCAATTCAATTCTTGTTACTAGAATGTTTAGATATATCTGGTAGGGATGAATCTGGTTCTTTAGACAGAATCTTAAAAAATTAAAGCAATTTGTTTGTAGTACTATAATGGATCTGGACATTTGATTCAATTATTGCTGTTATTGCAATCAAAATTTAGCTTGCGTTAAAATTATTTCTTGTATAATGCTTTAGAGGTTGCAAATATTAATCATTAGATCATTATTGATGAAGTTGACTGAATCTAAATTTAGGTCTTCATACAAAGTATTTGTAATTAGGTCATTGCAAGTATATAGTAGAGCCCCTATTAAAGGTACACCCTTGGGACCAAAAAATGTGTCACCTTAATAGGGGTGTCCCCTGAATAATTGTTGACCGTAGTGTTAACAGGGGTGTCTACGCAATTGAGGTTGACCGTAGTGTTAAGAAATATACTTTCCCTCAATTTGCGGCCAAAAAAGTGTCCCCTTAAGAAGCATGGCTCCAGAAATTTGCTGACAACGGATCTGACATGTCCGACGGAAGGTCCGACCTAAGTGGCCAACTAGAGCCTCTGTTCTGGCCGGTCCCGTATGTAAAAAATCCATGGTCCCTACCATGGATTTTTTTCACTTGGAGAGTTTTTAGAGCTTAGTGTGGTCCAAATTGTGCTTTTAGACCACAAAAATTAGGATTTGCAATCAAAATAACGTTATTTGGATAGGCAAATAATATTGTTTAAAAGTTTGGATGCCAGACAACAGGGAGTACAAGCTTGTCCGACGGGGGAAAATTTTTCCTCCCCCGCTGGCACCAGCACTAAAAGGGCTCCAGTCTCAGAAAGCCACAGGGCCCCTGACACCATCATTATGCCACTGCTCCACTCCCTAAGCCTCTTCTTAAGGAAACTTGTTTATAAAGTATTTGTCCATCTTGTAATTAGCAAGTTATTTGCTGTTAGATGCGAATGAAATTTGTCGAAAAAAATGTTGTCAGAAAGAAAATATTCTGAATAATTGAATGATGGAAATAGGCCTATATTTATATATCATACTAAGAAAATATCAAACTAGAAAATGTCAGAATTAATGATATTACAGATTATTAATACGATACTATTCTTGTTCTGTCATTATGTTTGATGTATGTTTGATGTAAAAAAAAACAAGGTGTATTATTATTTCATTTTTATTGTCATTGTAGTTTTTAAGACTTTCTGTTTGTATTATGATATATTTATTTATTTTATTTTATTTATTTTGGTAGACAAGCACAAGGAAAATATTAGTGTAAAATATTGAATAATATTCAAAGATATGTAAACATTTATAAGCAGTTTCTATAAATAGATTTACCCGGCTATTATATATTGCCCTCCTCTGATATCAAGTAAATTCATGTGTAATTTAAAGCATTATGATTTGTCTTGAGTTTGCAGTTACTATAAATAGATTTGTCCAGCTACAATACAGTAAATGTAATTCTGCTGTAGGCCTAATCTGTAATAACAGCAACCATGTTTATTTATTAATAGGCATGCTGGTTAGATGGTGGAATAGTTGATGCAGAGTGTAAGGAATGATGATGTCATGTATGTGACGCAACGTCAGCAAAGGTTTCAAAATTATCCTTCAGTATTAAATGATGCATTTCTACGAAACACAATTTTGTGCCATTCCTCTGGGAAAATATACAATATATATGTATATTATGAGGAAATTAGTTTGCATCAGGAAATTATTATAGGAGTGATATTTTGCCCTACCTGACGTGTAATCGTACTGAATACTCAGTACGTACCCAAATACTAGCGAAAAAAAAAAAAAAAAAATTGGAATCACTTGCAAATTTTTTTCGCTAGTATTTGGGGACGTACTGAGTTTTCTGTACGATTACACGTCAGGTAGGGCAAAACATCACTCCTATAATAATTTCCAGATGCAAACTCATTTCCTAATAACACTTGCAGTACCCACTGCTATTAGGGGATCAGATTCATCATTAGTCACCAAGCGCAAGCTTGGTGCTCTGGTGGTTAAGACATCAGGCTAGATACCTGGAGGTCATGGGTTCGATTCCCACCCGAATCACAAATTTTTTTTCGCCAGTATTTGGGGACGTACTTTATATTCAGTACAATTACACGTCAGGTAGGGCAAAACATCACTCCTATGTATATTATGTACAGTAATGTGTACAGAAAAGTCACATTCTCTGATTCAATTTTGTTATGATGATGCATAAATATTTTTCCATGACAAGGATTGATAGGCATCAGCTGGAATATTATTTTATGTAGGCCTATGTTTATTTTGACTGACATGACTCTTCGTGTCAAATTAATTACTTTAATATTATTTGAAAAAAATACATGTCATTGAAATGATGTGTTGGTTGTCATGTGTCATTATTGATTTATGGAAATGAAAACTTTACGACATATTGTACGAGTTCTGCATCCGTGTAATGAGTGGGATTTGTGAGCATTATAAGATTTTTCTTGTCAATAATATTAACAACTATGGTATGGAGAAACTCCACTTCTATTTTTATTAATTTAGATCTTAGAGTACCATTTTACTCTCTTCATTCCTTAACGAAATCTGAATCTGTAAACCAATTTTACTGAGGTGATCTCATTAATATCGAAACATACAGGGGCGGATCCAGAGATGTCCAAAAGGGGTGGGGCGGGGGCTCAATATGTCATGGAAACGGCACAAATCAAATAACAGCTTTACTATGGAAAACTACCTAAAATCATTGACATCTATGAGCCCCTCTGATTGGAAACTCAAACAGCCTACGACCCCAATATAGCTACAATTTTATTTTATTTCGGTAGGAATTCACATCCAAATCCCCAGGAGCGACAAACTGAAGATAAGCTAACGCTTATTGCCATCAAGGAATTGTACGTTTGTTCATACGTGACGGTGTACTAATGGGTCCGGAATGGTCCCTTGCCATAGAGTCCTCGGTCTAGCACCTTGACCCAAAAGGGCTTTGATGATACATGATACAGCATAATGTGTCTCTGACCTCCACTGTAGGACATATAGCATGCTACATCAAGTGGCGGATTAAAGGGGTGTCCCCCTAAATTTTTCAAAATAAAAAAAAAATGCAGATAAAAAGAAAACTGTTCAAATTGTAAGTCTGTGAGTGCAATTTCCAGTCATCTACAAGTGCAATAATCATAAATTTCCTTGCCTCAGCCCCAACCATGGTGAAGCTGAGGTCAATGATGTAATCCTCCATCTTTGAAAGTCCCTCCCTGTCTGTGCCCCTCTATTTTAAACCACTGAGTCCGCCACTGGAAATTAAAATATTTTTCCCGCACTACACCATACTTATAGAACAATTTGCCTATTGAATTAAGGAACTCACAAAATGTAAATGCGTTCAATGGCAATCTAAAGTCTGTCCCCTTTTTCAAGAGCATTTTATAAAAGTGTGACGGCGCCACTAAATACTTTGCGGATATTAGGCACTATATATAAATCTTTTTGATTGATTAATAAAGCTATAACCTTAAAACTGTTATCAGCCAATAATTTTTAATAATAATGATAATAATTATAATAATAATAATTATTATTATAATAATAAGAAAAATCAATAAAAAGTAATGAAAATTTGTTTTGATTGATTGATTGATTAATTAGTAAAGCTATGACCTTAAAACTAATCAGCAAATAATTTTTAATAATAATAATTTTAATAATCAAAGTTCAAAGTAATTCTATTGTCAGTAGTACAAGTAGTAAAATTGAAATTTGGTTTCCTCGGATACACAAAAAAAAAACAGAAAATATCAACAGTAAGATTCTAAAAATTTCAGTTTAAAATATCATCATATAAATTTTCCTAACTAGGAACAAATATATACAGAAACAAGTTGAGAAAAAAATTGCAGGTTAAATAGATTATCATTAGCTCAGTATAATTCTTAATTTAGTATACAAAATATAGTACAAAATTAGTTTATAAAATTCCAGCATTAAAGACATTCAAGAAAATCACAATCAA